TACAGTTAGGAATAATGTTTGAACAAATTTGTCGCACGTTTTTCTCTGTAGGAACCTGAAACATGTTTTCCATAGTCCCAGAAATCATCCCAAAATTTTGTTAAACTTGATCTATGTTCGAAGCTATTTTGAGTAATTTTCAGCCATGAACTAGAACCACGATAATTTTATAATCATTATTACATTCTAGGATACGTTTTCATCTTCATTATCCCGCATTTATTTTAGATAAATGATAATGAAAAAGAGTAGATTCGGAGTCTCTAAAATCAAGTCTTGTGATGTAATAGTAATCATGCTAAATAATAAGTTATCCTGGACTCCAATGAAACATAGTGTGTATTATATCTTTTAAGATTGATTATCGGATGAAATAAAGTCAAACGTTCTTTAAAACAGTGTCTATGAAACGTTTACTCCGACAAGTTCTCCAAATTTATTTAACCAGGTTACAAAGAAATAGTCCCAATGTTAGAAATACACAAAGCCCGGAAATCGCAGTTATAGTGATAATTTCACTCTTTTCCGTCAACGACAGGGCTGATATGACAGTCCCCAAAGTAGAAGAAAGGCTTAGAACGATGTTGAAGATCTTGGCAGATATTTCTCCGAGGTTACTGTTGTCCAAACTCCACTTTTTGTAAAGGTAGAACTTGCTGGGGGTATTCAGGTTAAGATGACACGCCTCCCCTATACCCATTAGAATCAATCCCATCAACAACTGGAGTGTAAATTCCAAGAATTTGAAATCACTTGTTGTGGCTCCGAATGCAACTACTGCTCCACAGTGATAGAATAAGTTTCCTATTGCCATTGTGGTGATGACATTAAGCGTATTGATTCTACCAGCTATAAAGCTCAATGTTAACGCAGAAATGAATGAGACAATGTTAGAGATGTGCACTAATTGTACGGCTAACGAAAGGGACATGGTGGTGAAATACAAAATCCTTGCCGGAAGCACATACACTATGAGATCATTTAACGCATTATTCAGGAACAAGACTACATCGGGAAAGTAGAATGCGGTTTTTTGTGACCAAAGCGGAATAGACTGAGGGCCGATTCTGTTATTTCGATCTGTCAATTCTTGGGACTCCTTATCGGTGGAATCAACTTTTTGTTTATTACTTTCTTTCACCTCTATGTTTGTTAGGAATGGAAATACTAAAAGAGGGAGGATGTTGAAGGAGGCTGTACCAAGACCAACTAATACCCACCCACCAGCTACAAATAGCTCAGTGCCCAATATTGCTGAGAGGATTGCCCCAACTTGTATGAAGCTGCTAATCAAGATCATCGCCTTTTTATCTTCCTTCAGATACAAATCTATAACCTCGCCCTGAAATATATTATTAATTACTGTTCCTGCAATATAAAAAAATAATAAATCTAAATTTGCAATTTTTGTAAGCTGCAAATCATATGCTTTCATGTATAAAATAACAAGAATTGCGCCCGTTGTTTCGTTTTGGCGAACGCTAGATTTCCATTTCACATTTACTATATTATAAATTTAAGTATAAGATCCAATCAGCTCACTTCAATTTTGATGATAATAATATATCAATTGATAAATTATGCATTAAATACGGGAAACACTTGAAATTCAATTCAATTGCCGTAAAACTTAACTTGTATCTGTAATTCAAGAAATTTTAAGCAAAGGTAAACTATACTCGTGTACACATCAATACACTACGCGTGCCACGTACAAATTGGGCTTATAATCTAATATTATACATTTCATCGTATACATTAAAACACAGTCGCGCCGCGCATTCATAGATCACAGGCTATCTATACATCACATCTCCGCAAGCAATCCTCGCGCGCGCGCAACTTTTTCGTTGCATGGTAACGGACGTAAGGAAGGAAGGAAGGACACACGACATATTTTTCTGCAAAAACCTCCATTCGTAACCTTTCACTATTGCCTTTTTACAAAAGGGTGAAATGGAAAAAATTAGAAAAAACAGATGGCCGCAGCACAAGAGGGTCAAAGTGCAAAGAAATTGATGCTAACTGCTGCTCACTGCTGCTAACTGACTGCTTACTGCTGCTAACTGCTGCTAACTGCTGCTAACTGCTGCTAACTGCTGTTAACTGCTGCTAATTGCTGCTAACTGCTGCTAACTGCTGCCAACTGTTGCTAACTGCTGCAAATGGCACGTGCTCGACAGCAGCAGTTAGTAGCAGTTAGCAGCAGTAAGCAGCAGTTAGCAGCAGTTAGCAGCAGTGAGCACTGAGCCGCAGTGATAATTCCTCACCTGAACAAACACATGCATTATGCCCATTGCAAACCCTTGAATACCCCTCAGTAATGCTATGGTTCCGAAAATAACAGGAGCGTCACAGTTCACATCAATGAATACTTGAATCAAAGCCATCATGGAGGAGCAGGTCAGGTTCAAAAGGCTCGCACAAAAATATCTTTTGAAAAGGGACGCGTTTCTGATGGTTTTTGGTAGATAGTTGTAGATGTATGGGCCGGCAGGCGAAGTTATCAGAGCTACCGAAATGGAAACAGTGCCTGAAAAAAAACAGTAATTGTTTTCTACTTTTAGTCTAATGTAACTGTTTAAACTTTTGAAATACCGCTAAAGGTTTTCTACTTTTAGCTTTGTATAATTTCACTCGAGTTGAATATTGAATATGTATACAGCCGCTTTGAAATCGGCAATTTTTATTTTTGATAATATTGGTTGTTGATATAAGCGGGATATAAATCTAAAAATGCTTCATTTCATTTCATTTCATTATGTAATCTCACTTACCTATTATGGTACTGAAGCCAGATTGTTTAAGGAAGTCTAAATAAAATCCGGACGGATACAGTTTAGTCATAAATACGACGTACATTCCAAGGCAAGCAAAGATCACTATAGTCATCTGATGGCATGTAGTAATTTCTGCAAAGGTTATAGTAATTGAAGGTAATCTTAAATATTTATAATTGTGAATTTAAATCACCGTACGGACAGCGGATTTGGGAGTATTGAGTATTCATATTTTCGTGAGCGGAAAAGAACAGAAACTAAACATTTACCCTCCGAACGTTCCTCGTCTTCTGATGACACCGGTTTGTCCTCATCGTTCCCTTCTGAAATGTCACCAAAAACAGTAACTTCCAATGTCAGGCTAGAGCCTGAAATTACGATTTATCGTCAGCCTATCATTTAATATCTTCATGTCATATTAAATTACAAAAAACATAACGATTCAACCCAATTAATTCGAAAAAATGCAGCAAATAACGTAAAGATTTCCAATTTTGCTAACCATATTTTTTGCTTTTAGTAGATTCACTTTCAGAATTATCGAAGTCCTTAACGTCCAAAACAGGATTTGCCATGACCAAGTTTTCGTCTACAATTTCTTCTGTCATGATTCACGTACTCTAGTTCGATACGCACTATAGTTCGACAACTTAAGGCTTTAAGAGGACATATTTACACCAATTTACACCAAAAGCCTTTTTTGGTGCCACCTTAAAAAATCTGACAAAACAATAAGTTTAGTCAGATTCAAAATTTTTTAAATATTCCCTTATTCGGAAAAATTCACTTTTATCTTTTGTTAAGCTTTTTAAAATTTTGGTCAAGTCTGTCGTTGTAATACCGACTTCTTAAATTGTTTGAATGTGACTCAACTTATTCAGTTATTGTGTTGTTCCATACTTTCATAATATGAAATAAAATTTAAGGTGGCACCAAAAAAGGTTTTGGTGTATGTCCCCTTATTATGCCGGGATTTCACTGCCGCAGTTAAAAAGGGTAGGAGTATTTACCCGCTGAGTCAAAACCCGCATTAGTTGAGCAATTTAACCGCTTTCCATTTTTATTTAAATCGTTTTAGAAATTAACCCTTATTAACTCCGCACCACACCCGCCTATCATATTTGAAAACATGCATTATATTGTCGTATGAAAGTAAACAAACATACCGCAATGAGTGCCCCCCCCCCCCCCCCCTAATAAGCTTATAGTATTAGATGACAGTGAATATCGAGGTTAACCTAATTATGACTTATGTACCAACGCTACATATGCAGTAATGGGAGAGAGCGAGAAGGGAGAAAAAGTGAGCCATTTTATGTCACATTTGTGGTACAAAACCATAAATTAAACCACTTACCACCGACCGATTTTAAAAACCTTTATCATTTGGCTTCGTCAGAGTTTTCTCGGCACTATACCCAAAAAAAGCCAGTCCCACAACTCTAACCATTTTCTTAATTAAGCCGCTCGCAAATTACACGCGCACAGACAGACACACAGACACACAGACACGCAGACAGACACACATTCTGGGATTATTGTTTAAGATAGCGTACTCTACAATCTAGATCTATAAAACGGAGTACTAGTTACCACGATAGTCTTTTATCGCTCTGCTAAGTCTACAATACTTCTTAAGAGGCTGCGATGTTAAAATGGAGTGTCTTCTTAGGGAAAATCAGTGTGGGTTCAGACGGAACCGCTCATGTATTGATCAGATTTATTCCATCCGCACCATTATTCATAACTATATTGAGTTTAATATTCCACTTTATGTTAATTTCATTGATTTTAAGCCAGCGTTTGATTCCATCAGAAGAGAGTTTGTTTGGTCAAGCATGAGACACTATAATGGACTTCCTGAGAAATATGTTACAATCTTTCAGGCATTTTTCAACAGAACTATGTCAGGGTTAATGGTGAAATGTCTGATTGGTTCTCTGTCAATTCAAGCACTGGAAAGGGTGATATCCAGGGCCCTCCTGTATTTAATTTTTGTCTGAACTTTGGAATCTTTTTGGCCGACGTTCACAAGGCAATCAGTCATGGTGCTGTACTGCAAAAGGAACTGAAGGGTGCATATGAAAAAGTTATCATGGATAGTTATTACGCTGATGGACAATACTGAAGAAGAGCTGCAAGAGTCCATGGATCTTATCACTTATTACACCTCTTATGCAGGGTTAAAGATCAACGCTAAAAAGAGTAAAGACACAATGCATGGCGATCAGCAAGTGTGCGTCCCAGCGACCTTACACCGAAAGAGACAGTATAAAGCTAACAGTGGAGGGAGAACCTGTTGAACAGGTCAGTAACTTTGTTTATCTTAGTGCCAACATCAGTGGGGATGGTACCATTGACCGAGATCTTGACATCAGGATCCAGCATGCTAATGGTGCGTACCATCAGCTTTGGAAGATATGGAAAAGTAGAACTATAAGAACGCCCACCAAGATCCGTATCTACAAGGCTACTGTTATTACTATTCTGTTATATGGAGCTGAAGTCCGGAACACAACAAAGAAGCAGATGAAACGGTTCGAGGTCTTCCATCTGACCTCCCTGAGAAGAATCTTGAAGATAAAGTGGTTCTTCCATGTCTCCAATGAAGAAGTTCTCAGGCGTGCTGGAATTAAGACTATTGAAACTTTCATCGGTTCGGCTAGACTAAGGTGGTACGGACACGTTGTCAGAATGCCAGAGATACGGTTTCCCAATTTTTTACTGGATTGGAATTGGGAAACCAAACTTTAACTATGGAAAAAGACTGAGAGGACGGCCCCGCAAAGGCTGGATGGCCTGTGTACTCGAGGATGCGGCTGACTTTAAAGGTGTCGATAACATCAGCAGAGACGCAGTAAAACAGTTAGCTCTAAAACGAGTGGAATGGAGGAACATGTTACACCGTAGAAGAGATGTGTGTGATGCAGGCCACTCCTACGATTAGGAGGAGACCTTTTCATGTAGCATGTATGTAAGTCTACAATTCTGCTAACTAACAATTGAGTCTGATGTCAATTAAATTGTCATAGATATGGATTATACATATTACATTTACACATAGTTGAACAGCATGAAACAAGTGAAAACTGGAAAACAAACAACCGAATAGATTTCAAGCTTGTAAATGATCGTTGCTTAAGATCGGAGATTTCAAAACTCTAGTTCGACAGTCGAAGTTCTCTTGTCGAACTTTAGTACGTGTTGATCTTGAGTCCAGGTAGCACACTTACGTTCGACAGAGTCGAACCTTAATGTTTGTCGAATTTACAAACACGACCGACTGATCCAGTTAGGCTTCTTCGTATATCAATACGCTAAGATGGATACAAGTTTAATTTTAACAGACATAACCTGACTCATTGTGAGATAATTGAAAATGAAATCTAAAAATAGGTCTGATATATCTGTACAGGACATTAAAATACCAAACCTCAACCTATCCTCAGACAGTTTGTATCTTGCCGTCAGTGGAATGGATTTAAACAGTGTTGTAAAGCCTACAATGGCGCAAGAATGCGAGAAAGCTGAAAAGGAGTGGTCTCCACGTATTGACAGCAAATCCAATACGGTATACGATCTTAGGACCCCAGGTAACGGAGACATATAGAAACATAATTATTAAAAGTTATATTTATATTACACAAGGACGAGTCGACGACGGACGTGGACAATGGGAGCAGGACTGTAGAGCGGGGGACTCTAGAGCGGGGGACTGTAGAGAGTACTTGGTCGAAAGTAGGACCCTAGAGCGGGGTCAAATTGCCAGGGTATGACTCTAGAGCGGAACTCCCTTACCGGACCCATACTATGAGGACTCTAGAGCGGTACCCACATGCAAATTTTATAACGGTTAGAAATTTGAGAGTTAAGTTAGTTTTGAAGATTGAGCTATGTTTTTTAATCAATGATTAATAATAGTCGTCACATAATGATGATCAAATTGATACAACTTATTATACATTATTACTGCGAATCAAATATCTGAAAATAGTTCACTCCTGGATCATCACGTTCCTCAACATGTCATGGTTGGAGACAATGTCCTGATCTTCGTACACTTCTATTTTTTTTATTGAAATCTTTAAAATCGATCAATTACATACAAATTTACACAATGAATGAACAACATTAAATATTCTCAAAAGGTAAGACTCCGATAAAATCAGATTTTCTAGGACAAAATGTATGTAATCAAAGGACCTGAGGGTCACCAAAACACAGATGTTGAGAGCAAAAAGCACCTCCTGCACAAGTATGGGCCCACGAAAATCTTGAATTCTAAATAGAATTTCAAATATAATCACACAGAAATATCAAAAGCAATCAAATCATATAGTAAAGTGAAATCCATGATGTGATGATATACAGTTGCACTAAATGTGCCAGTTGGCTGTCCTTGGTACGCTGACGGGCTCGTTTTGCAGGAGGACTGAGGAGCATCCCTGTAACTCTCATTGAGCATCATTTCATCTGTAGTGGACTGTTCTATGTAGACAGCTTGAAGAAAGGTCCAGATAGTTGGGTTAGAGTGTCCCACCATTGCTGCAAACTTTCTGTTATAAAGGCGTAGTTGTTTGTCTTGTTGAGGTTGCAAGACGGGCTTCTCAGAAGGAGTTGAGGAATGACTGTTACTCTGCATATTGTAGATAGTTGTAGAGAGGAGTAGGAATCGAATGTGATATACTAAAACTCTCTATACTAAAACTCTCTAAACATTCTCTGTGACATTTATAATTATACTGCACTATCGAAATCACAAACAAGAACCGATGGGATCTGGATCATACCCTGTCACCACTTCACCAGACTGAACATGAGATACCCTTAGTAGGTGCTAAAGTGTCACGCGATGAGATCCTCATTCCTAAATATAAGGGAGTTCCGCTCTAGAGTCCTACCCTGGTGATTTGACCCCGCTCTAGGGTCCTACTTTCGCCCAAGTACTCCCTACAGTCCCCGCTCTACAATCCTACAGCCGAACTATTATTATTATTAATAATGACGAGTATTGTTATTATTAATGACGGGTGTTATTATCAATGACGGGTATTATTATTACTAATGCAGACGGGTATTATTATTTATAATGCAGACGGGTATTATTATTTATAATGACGGTATTAACATTTTAACGTACAAAATGAAAAAAGCTGTTATAGAAATTTGTTATGTCCGAAACAAAAACAAAAATAAAACCATGGCCATGCTAAGTTTTCATCTCAATTAAGTTGTACTAATACCGCGTTCTCTAAAACCTTCATCTTGACATATAAATGATTCGGGCCGAATGGGAAGGTGGCGGGTCTGTCGGCTTGGTTGCCAAAACTTATTAATTTTCCCGACAGGGATAAACATAGTGCAAAGGGTATCAATAGACATTTCCGCCTGAGCAAAGAAGATAATCTGAAGGTTCTTTAACAAAGACCTGAAACAAGAATTACAATTAAATAAGGGCTTCATCGTCAAAGGACAAAGCACGTGCAGTGTACACATACGAACTCAACAAAAAAGGACTTGATCATTTATATGTCAAGATGAAGGTTTTAGAGAACGCGGTATTAGTACAACTTAATGGAGATGAAAACTTAGCATGGCCATGGTTTTATTTTTGTTTTTGTTTCGGATATAACAAATTTCTATAACAGCTTTTATCATTTTGTACGTTAAAATGTTTAATACCGTCATTATTAATAATAATACCGTCTGCATTATTAATAATAATACCCGTCTGCATTAGTAATAATAATACCCGTCATTGATAATAACACCCGTCATTAATAATAACAATACTCGTCATTATTAATAATAATAATACCCGTCATTATTCCGTCATTATTAATAATACCCGTCATTATTACATGAATGAGGAGATGAAACGTAATGACAGTGTGAGTAATACAACTCACTTTTTTAGACATGAGGACGGTATAAATCTTTCATCAAATGACAACAAAAACTGTGAAAGAAGCCGTGCGATCAGTGAATAAAGAAGAAGAAAGATCGAGAAACTTGATTATCTACGGTTTGAAGGAGACGGAAGAAGGGGAGTGGGAGGACGTATTAGAGATGGACCCTCTCCCGGACTTTTTCAAGTCAGTTTTTGCTGAGGCCGGCTGTCATTTTCCTGACACGGATGAGATATGCAGGATTGGGAAGAAAGTTCCTGAGAAAACGCGACCAGTCAAAGTCCAGTTACAAAGCTCTAACGATGTGGACATTATACTAAGGAATGCACACAAACTTAAAACAAATGATGATTTTAAGTCAGTTTATCTTGCACCGGATAGGACACGGGAGCAGAGAATACTACACAGTGGACTTGTCAAACAGATGAAAGAACTAATAAAGCAGGACAATAGCAAGCGTTATTTTATCAGAGACAATAAAGTTAATTGTGTTAGTGAGAGCTAGAGCCTTATCTACAAGTACACTGACTTGTTATCAGAATTTATGAACTTTAATATGTTATGTTCACTTTCGTTATCTACGTGGTGATACAGTGTAGTTTTTACATAGTATGTATTTTAATTTGGTGTAAGTGGTGGCCGTTGTATTCTATAAACCGTTTTTAACGAGTTTTTTACGATGCAGTATTTTGTGAGGAGATTTAGGCAGCATGAACTGTGGCTCATATTTTATTATTTAAGCTGCTCTACGAGCACACACGCTAGCTAGTTGGTTTTTAGATAGTTAAGAGTATTAGTTACTTAGTTAGTTAGTGTAAATTAGTATCAGTCAGGATCTGTTAGCACACAGAACTGTTAGTTTTCGCGAAGCAGGTCTGACTTTCATATATATTCTTATAGTAGACTTCATCATATAAATTAATTTTGAACTTAGTAACAATTTCAGGGAATAAATAGAAATTTAAGATTTTATTTCTATTCTAATATTCACGTATATTAAATACAATTATATTGTTATGTATCATATGATTTTGTAAACATTGGCCGGTGTACCAAAAACCGGTCCCCAAACAAAACAACAACTCAGAGTACTCAAACTTACGGTAGAATCAAACACAGGTGATATTAGAGATATTCAAGAAACTATGAATAATACTGTCGATCAAAATGTTGGTCAAGAGGTTGAGATTTAAACGAACTGGCAGCCGAAGATCTTATTGATGGTAAGATTGAAATAAGAAACTCTTTTGTTGAAAATGATATAGGCGAAGTGACTACAGATATTATTCCTAAACTCCGTAATATAGACTAAATAAACTGAGTGAGGAGGACATCAAGCTGTTAAATGACATATCTGATTTGATTTGATTTGAAACGTTTACAAATAGTACAACTACATATACAATACAGCAAAGCCAAAGAGAATTAAAAATAAACGACATCTCCAGGCATTATCTAATGCTTCAAAATTAACGCTGCAAAAGCAATGATACATGAAAATGTTAGTCATCTTGTGAACATTTTTAACCGAATGAAAACTGATTTTGATAAATTGTTTGAACCATCTGATGATGAAAGTATCTCAATCTGTATAGCTATGATTCTGAGAAACAAGAAATAAAATATGAAAATTTAAATAATGTAATTCTCAATAATACTTGTTCATTTCCATTTATTTTCCAACCAGTTACGAATCATTTGTTTTACTTTCTAACTTCATCAGTCAGTTATATTGACAGATGGTGCAAATGATTCACTTTGAAAAATTAATTGAGTCACACGTTCAAGCGATCTATAGGATAAGGATAAAGTTCTACTGGTACGTTATTATTTGATTTTGCCCCGCTCTAATCTGGTAAGATCGAGTCACGATAAGATCACAATAGTACTGTGAACAATGAACATGATATAATAATCAAAAGTTACATCCATTTCCAATATAGATTCCACAATCCACATGGAAGATGATAGGTATCACACTAACTACAAGGGTGCTGCCGGTAACTTACGTAATACGCTTACCACCATCACATGTGCC